TTCAGCCGTGGGGCGTTATAATGTGACGGTCAATCCCACTATTCGTTGGTAAAAGAGTAGCCCAAGAGTTGGCGGTGGGTGGTGATGACTAGCTGCTTTCCCTTTTGTCTTACACTGCTAAATTAGGGACGGCTAGCGCAGATAGCCCTCGTGTAGCTTTCATAACAAACAAACAAACTAAGTTTATAAAGGGTCGTCGTATTGGTAAACATTTGGATTGTTTTGTTTTTGTTTTTAAGTTAAGCACAAAGCTACACAGTGGGCTATCTGTGCTCTGCCCACCATGGGTATCGAAACCCGGATTCTAGCGTTGTAAGTCCGCAGACATACCGCTGTGCTACTGGGGGGCTAAACATTTGGAAGTGGAACGACTATTTGCAAAAAAAAACAAATAAACTAGTATGACTCTTCTTATTCACAATAAATAGTAATTGAACCAATATTTATTTATATGATCATTAACACAACAAACCAGTTGTTAGCCATGCAAACTATAGTCAACTAAATTCATATCGAAACATTAGGATTTCTAGCTAGAGAACTGAAATTCGCTTTTCTCTCTCTCTACCGAACGCTGAATAATTTGAAACATTGTTTTGATTTATATATAGCAATTTAAATTCACCAAGACTCTGAAGGCTGATTTAGCTAATATCAAACAAGTGTGTTGTTTCTATTATATATTTATATTCACTGAAAGTAAAAGTTTCCTTCGAGGATTAAATATAAAAACTGTGTTTTTCAACTGTAACCGGTTTCTTAGATTCAGTGGCTACTCTATAATTATCTTATTGTTTAATGGTAAAGTTTTAACTCATGAATGTTAAAATTTTACCCCTAAACACAAATAAACTAACTAATTAAATGTAAAAACTGTATTCTTTTTTTTTCAACTGTAACCGGTTTCTTAGATTCAATGGCTACTCTATAATTATCTTATTGTTTAATGGTAAAGTTTTAACGCACGAATGTTAAAATTTTACCACTAAACACAAATAAACTAACTAAAGATTAGCCACTGAAGCTACGACCCGTTTCGAATAAAAAGATACTTTTACATTATATATATAAATATATTCATACACACACACACACACACACACACATTCCAATTATCTTGACTAAAAACCAAAGCCTTTTGTTTTCTCTAAGCATATTTAAGTTACCCCACATGTCTCTATTGGCCCCTAATTTAATATTTCAACCTAGTTTTTTTTTTTAGCTTAATAACCTGTCATTTTTATTCAGAATCTTCCCTAAGGTTTCAGGCTTGTTGATTGTGTTAGTTTTTAACATGACAAGTAATCTTACGCCTGGTTTAGCATGTCTTGTTTTATATTATCGCATTCACTTCATGATGGTATATATATATATATATATATATTTACATATATATGAATTTTTCGTCTCATTGGCTTTATAGCTTTGCGCGCAACATTTTTTGAGATCAGTTTCCGGAATATCACGACCGCTGTGTTGAAATTCAAGTAAAACAAGAAAGGGTCAAGATAATTTGCATGTCTTATTATAACTAAATCTGTTTCGTTAGCTGAAAAAACGTCAATACACTCTTTAAGGTGAAGTTATTAAAGTGGAAAATAGGTGACAGAGTTTTTTTTCTGTAACATTTTCAAGTCTGTACTGCAACATTTTATTTAGCTTTGTATGTGCGAATTGGCGGTTCGATGTATGTGTGTAAGAAATAGGAAAGTAACCACCTAATTTTTGTTGAGAAAACCATATTACCATATGAATGTAGTAGTGTTTTAAAAATTAAAAGTACACATATTACTTGCAATGTGGTACGATATATTTGGGCGATTAACTGCAAGACATAGGTTTTTAAGTAATACATAATAATAACTTCCAGAGTAAGCTATGTGCTTATAGTCGCCTTATCGGCCATTTTTAAATACTGCCCTAAATCACTTCGTTAAATTAAGATGTTTGACTTGTACCCATCATCTTTTCGGAAACAGTACAAATCCAAATAACCTTATATTAAGTTCCCGGATTTATATCGATCGCTAAGACCAAAACAACAGAAACTGTATTTATCAGAACTCTATACCAAAAGAAAATTAATCTTGCAGCCAGAACACAGAGTTGGGATAAATACCTCATCAGTGAAATGAACAAAATAAAAATGGTTTAACAATGCTTTTTAATACTGATGATAAATTATAAATACAGATTTGATACATAAAACTATGATGGTTACGTTTTCGACATTTCGCTACTGAAAGGTAACGTTACAAGCAATTTAATCTTACTATCCAGCCAAACACGCTCAGCCACAAACATTTGGAGGACAGATTGAATTTCAGACGTAAACTAACCTAGACGCTCTTGATTGCCCAGATCTTATTTCTCTTAACTGCCGGACAAGCTTCGCGTGGAACTGGGTGAACCTAGTTCATTGAGTGCTCTACTAAAGAACGAATGTCACGTGCCTGGTCGTTAGAGCTGTCCTGCTATTAGTTATACGTTGTTTCCTCTGTGGCCTTGGTCTTTCTGGACGAACAATAGTGAAGAAATCTACTTAGGAGGGTTTTTACTCTGAGATGTGGTTGATTCTCTTTTCTGCTCACGTGTTTAAAAAAAAAATTAAAAACTCGCAACTCATAGGCATGCGTTAAAAGCGAATTGTTAATATTTTGGCTCAGTAAAGGTAGAGATGGTGTATTCAAATACAGGTTAAGCATATTGGTTGCTATAGAAACAAAGCCAGATAAGGTTTAACATGCGTGTTCTACATAACCAATCTTCATTGTTTGTTCTTTAGTAAAAATTTCAGATATAGCATAGTACATATGTTGGGCATAAAAACCCATGGTAGTTAAAAGGAAAGGTTGGGTATTATAATTTATATGGGTCAAAAGTACACATGCCTCACAACGTCTTCTCTAATTACTGAACAATACTCAAGTTAAATAATCATAACAAAACAACGAAACTTAAAGTTTAAGTACATAATTCCATTGTCTACAGCTCAGAAGTTTAAATATTGAACAGCCATCTGTATTGTAATAAAATATTTAACTGTTAATGGATTTTATAAATGCTCAAGGTAATTTATTTTATGACTTACTCTTAATACACCATTGAAGCAAGCAAGCGCCATCTACCAAACCAGTTGCAAATTATCTGTATGTGTGGGTTATAATTTTTTTTAAGAGTGAATAAAATCCGTTCATTATGAAGTGACAACTTCGTATTGAATTCACTTATGCACTTATACTATCAAGAATAATATTGTTATTAAGTTCATCATGTGCATATGTTGTCAATAAGAGAATTGTTATTAAGTTCACAATGGGCTTATGTTGTCAATAAGAGAATTGTTATTAAGTTCACCATGTGCATATGTTGTCAATAAGAGAATTGTTATTAAGTTCACAATGGGCTTATGTTGTCAATAAGAGAATTGTTATTAAGTTCACCATGTGCATATGTTGTCAATAAGAGAATTGTTATCGTTTTAATATACTGTTGCGTCAGCGAGGGCACGTGACTAGTATCACGCCACTCCTTCTCTCGAACCTTCGGGAATTGTCGGGAGATTACTAGATATAGGGAAGTCTGGTATATATAAGATGGTGACAACGTGACGGGAC